TGAACATAGTTTTAGATCATTCATAGTTAGAAAACACTAAGAAATTGTTTCATATTTTTGTTTTCGATTCATCAACTATGTGCACTCATAATCTCACACAGAATCAAATCTAAAGAAATAAGATTTTTAACTGAAAACAATATCTTACGACTGTTACATCACAGTACAATGACTCTTATATTTTATGTTTAATCAATTCAAAATGTAACGCAATTCTAAAGTAATATCATCACATAATGGCTATTCCACTCCCAAAATGTTTACAATCACTTGCAGTTAATAAATGGATGAGAAGTAAATTCTAAGATTAAATTTTGTTTTAAATTGAGCTCTTAAGATACATTTTAATCATTTGTAAGATGATTTCTTATGTTATTGCTATTTCATCTAATTTCTGAACGATAAAAACTATTCATTAAATAATGACGTTACATTTAAATATGTGAAGTTTATTTGAAAAAAAGTAGTGATGATATAAATCTATCACTAATTTACAATTGAAGCAAAAAATCCAATCCATCCACTTAGTAACCTATATACCAACCTTTATTTATAAATAAGCATTCGCGTATGAGATCATGGATGAGCACTGCTGAGGAGTCCCATACCAGGATGAAGCAATCATCCAGTGCTTACAGGACTTAAATGGTGGTTGAGCTTAAATCAATTCATAAATTCAACTATTAAGACAATGATTGTTTGTTTTTTCTTTCAAAAGTTCTGTTAAAATATCAATTTTCTTGTTTTTATTTAAAATTAAAGTAAAATTAAACGACGATCATTCTAATCAGAGAGGGTTTATGTGAATATTATAGTAATTTAATTGTTGAATTCACGGGTAAATTGAAGCTAAACCATCATGCAAAACCTGGAAGCACTAGATGGATGTTTTGTACTAGCATGGAACTACTTGGCAGTGCTCATTCTAATGAGAAACCGTGACCAGTGTAGTTCAACCGTGTCTGTTGTGAGATAGTAACTCACTGAACACAATGGTAGACAGTGACGCAATTTCGAGAATTAGTTGAAGTTAGATATTAACACCGTCGGATTCACATGTCATAGGTTCAAATCTCGCGTAGCGGGATCATGTATGCACACTATTGAGGAATCTCATACTAAGGCGAAACAGCCATCCAGTGCTTCCAAGTATTCCATGGTAGTCTAACTTTAATTGACTCATGAGTTCAATTATTAAATAATCTTTCTTATTAAATTGTTAAATATTTTATTGTCGGATAAAATAATACAAGAAATATACTATATTTGATTAAAAAAGAAAAATGATGCACTTATCATTATCATTATAATCATGCACTTTTATTAAAATAAGTAAAGAAAAGTATATTTATCTTTATTTATAACAGTGTGAAGTGAATAGTTATTTTCTTCGTTGTTGTTGTTGTTGTTATTTAGTTGTACTATTTTTTTGTTTGTTTGTTTGTAAATAGTAAAATAAAGGTAGTTGTGTTAAGCTTTTTAATTGAATTTTACTTATTATTATTATTATTTTTAATTTTCCACTTTCAATAGTTAGAATTTTTTATTTTCAAAGTTTAATGGAGGAAATTTTGTAGGAGTTGATTTTCATTTGTAGGTTGTATTTATTATTAAAGATTGGTTTTATTTGAGGTATGACCGAAAATCAATAGGGGTGGGGTGGAGTCGAGTCGATAACTATTTCATCATAGTATGATACTGCTCTATAGTATATACTTATAGTCTCACCAGGGATCTAAGACGAGATCTTCGGGTTTCATCATGGATCTTAATCATTAAAACTACTTGATTGGTGTCCGATGGTACAATTTGAACTCGTAGTCAACTTTTCATATTGAATTACAATCAGCCAACATCATTTTTGATAGAGGTTTTACTTCTTGAATGGTTGAATACTAGTCATAACTCCACAATAGGATTTCATAAACATTAAATATTCAGAAATATTATAAATTATAAACTGATAGTTTATAATGAAGAACGTTTATAGTTTATTTAATTAGTGGATAGATTCCGAATCGATTTATAATATAAAATGTTGATCAACTGATTATATATATATATATATATATATATATATATATATATATATATATATATATTGATACAAAGTAGTTAATTAATTGCTGTTTACTAGACTAAATCATTAAATAAGCCTTCAGTGAACTAATATTCTGAATATAAGATGGTTGTCCAGTTCAATAGATTTTTATCCTAATATAATGACATATTAGTATACAAATTATAAAAATAAAAAAAATATGATTACATGGTACAAACATTCGAGCGCTAATTGCATTTTACATCAGTCCTTCTCTGATGATTTATTACTTTGACTATTATATCACTAACGATAAAACTGTAATATTGATGTTTGGGTAAAAAATTGTATTTCTTACAGCTATAAGCCTGAATTTAAGTTGACGTTATACATTTAATTAAGTTTATCTATATTCATTTATGGACAACTACTTCTAATATGATATTGAAACTATATTGTTATACATCAAGAAAATACTGAGAAAGGTAATCATTACAGTACATTTATATAGTATATTATATATTATTGTAACTGACAGCAATAGTCATACATTACATGATATCACCGAATGACCAAGGTTATAAAGATAAAAAAACTATTATTGTTATTTAATAGTTGATTTCGTGAGTAAATTGAAGCTAGAAGATTACGGAAAACCTGACAGCACTGGACGGCCATTTCGTCCGAGTATGGGACTCCTCGACAGTGCGCATTCTAGTGACTAGTGGAGTTCAACCGTGTCTGTTGTGAGATAGTAGCTCACTGAACACAATGGTAGACAGTGACGCAATTCCGAGGATTAGTTGAAGTTAGATATTAACACCGTCGGATGCCGACCGGCTCAATAACCTAAATATTAGGCGTTCGCGCGTGATACCGACACGTCCTGGATTCAAATCTCACGAAATGAGATCGTTGATGCGCACTGTTGAGGAGTCACATACCGAGTAGAAACGGCCGTCCAGTGTTTCAAAGTATTCCATGGTGGTCTAACTTCAATTGACTCATGAATTTAACTTTTCAAATTACTATCATATCCACAAAACCCCTCTCTCGTGGTAACTCTATATCTGACTATCCATAGGGTTATGAGTGAATATTGATTAAGAGTTCCGAAGTGCGACGAGGTAATTGCCTATTATCTCTTGGTTTTCAATACTTGTTCAACTGTGGTAAATTCTTAATGTAAACCATGAAATTCAACAATCTTCACTAACCTATAATCTGATACATCTTAATCTGAGTTCTTTTCTAGTTTGACGAAATGTTAGTCATGAAAAATGTATGTTTATTATTATTATTGTTGTTTTTATTATTATCATTACAACTTAATGTTAAGATGTTAAACTGATGATGATAATTTTGACAATCATTTTAAAACATCTACTGTCTATTAGCTCGATCTAGTAAGTGTTTCCTATCTAGAATTAAAGAGAGATGCTCAATATTGAATATTATGGTATAGAAATGAATTAGAAATACTAAACTAAGCTATATCATCGCACTATATAGTCACTAATGATTGTAATGTACATTCGTCTACAAAATGATGAGTAACTATATGTTGAATTTTTTCTCATTTTATACTTTTAACTAATATCTGTCTATCAATGAAGCAAGTATTTATGTTGCCATGGGGAATGTCTTTTTGTATTTCTATCCAACAAATGCCATTCTATGTACTTTTCTACCAAATGGTTCATAACTAGTCTAATTACGGCTTTTTGGATAATACATATGCTACAATAATAATGATATAGATTTTAAATTAGATTTTTGTCTGATTTGTATTGGATAATGGTAAACATTGGAGTCTGGGACGTTCGTTTCATCCTATTTGAGATTTTTCAGAGAGATTTACCCAGATATTAGTGATGTTCACACCGGAACTCAAACACAATACCTCGTGAATATCTCACAATATTGAGGTAATCCACTCAGAGCTCATATATACCAAAAATTAGTGATTGGCTGCAATCCTTGTTGTCGATAGGTAGAAGTCAGGTTTTAATGTTTAAAATATTTGGAAGTAATTCTTTGAACATTTATACATTTAGGCTTTCATAATATTTGCTATCATTTATAAGTAGTATATATACTGAACTCATTATTTAACTTTGAAACACGAAACATTACAGTTAAGGTAATATTAAATACACGTAATAATTGTTCTCTAGACAATAAACGTTTACATTTATGATAATTTAAGACATACTTGTCAAAGACAGTATTGTGTATTCATTATTCAGGATAAAATATGGCATAACTTAAGTTGTTAAATTTTCTTTCATTTGCCTATAAAGTACTTTTTCATCAGTCTATGATTTCCAATTACAAAAATCTTCAATAGATGCAAACTTTGTAAGTTTCTTACGGTTACTAAGTAATTCACTTTGTTAAGTTTGGAATTTCAAATAATCATCCTTGCATCCATTTATATCTTTGATATTTATCTTTCGTTGACAATTGTAAGTAGTTAAAGAGAAAGCTTAAAATTGAATTCACATTATTCTATCTCATCTGTTGTATCTAACTTCATTTAAAATCATTACCTAATTAGTATTTACATAGATATGTACAATATTTGTGTAATACCGTTTGATATATTATGTAATTCTGTGGTGTGGATTACTTATATCCATATAAGTAGTACATAACGGTGGTCGGGCATAGAATGTATTTCAGCAGAAGATCGATAAGGAAAGAACGTAAACGGAATGCGATTGGTATGAAAAGGCATGCACAATGAAATCTTAGACAATTGACTGATATTTACAAAAGGAACGGTCAAGTTTGAGATGATGGATTGATATTTTGCAAATTAACGATTTACTATATGGTTCTCATATTTTATTGAGGTGTTCTGTAAATTCGTGCCTATTGTGTTCGATTGTCCCCACTCGTGTTCTTGCTCACCACAATTCTACATTGCATAATAATTGTTTTTTTCTTTTCATAGGAAATCGATGGGATAAAAATTTGTCAAGAACAAATTAAAAATATTATAAATCGTGCTACAGCGCAATTAAGGTAAGTTATTGATTCAGTCATTGATAATTCATTATTTTATTTGTATTCAATAGTGACTACTTACAAGTAGATTGAATTTTTTCATTAATCAAAGAGATGTTATCCTCTAATATAAAGAATAAATTAACATTCAAGTCTATCAAAGTACTGAAATGTTTTACTAAATTACTGTGTTGAAATTTTTTTATCGATTTTAAGGTATTTGTTTCCATGAGCTGACGTTAACATTTTTTTAATAGAACAAACGATATAATAAACTTTTGTTGGACTCTTCACGTATGTGTAACCATGGTTTTATACGAAGTTGAATCATCCAACAGTAGATTTATTAGTCAAGATGAAACTATTCAGCCAATAAATCGATAATTGATCATTCTTAAATTACAATTTTAGTTTAGATTGATATTGTGAATGGATTTATTTCAGATCATCATTAAAAACTTGGAAGCACTGGATAGCTGTCTCGTCCTAGTATGGGACTCCTCAGCAGTCCACATCCATGACCCCGCACGGAGGACTCAGACCCAGAACTTCAGGCTTGCGTGCGAACGCCTAACCTCTAGACCACCAAATCGGCATCCAACATTGTTAATGTCTAACTTCAACCAATCCACCATATTGTGCGACTGTCAACCATTGCCTTCAGTGAGTAACTGTCTCACAATACACATGGTCAATTCGCTAAATAATATGACCAATAACGACAGCTTATTTACTAATATTAACTAGCTTCGAAATGGACAAAAGTCGTTGAAATGTACATTATTCTTACACAAATTCGTTCATAAAGACCGGGTTTTTTTTAAACACCAGGCTCATCATAATTTAATGATAATTTGTATCTGGTATTATACACGATTGATTTTATATCATGGTTGTAAATTTTATGGGTTACTTAATATACTTTTTAGTAGTGTAGAACTATTTTCCATTACGACAAAATTACCAACTTTTTCCAAAGTCAAATTATATTTGTTCTCATTATCCATAATAAGTTGAAGGCCTTACCACATGTCCAGTCGCATAGAACCAACTATATACCTTTCGGGAGTAAAGGGGTTTCGAAGCTGAGAGAATATATATCCACCTCAGTTAATGGAAGATTGTCGCACAATATCGTGAATCGATCGAAGTTAAGCATATACCCCGTCGGAGCTACAGAGCTTTCTACAAGACCAAGGGCCCTGGATTCGATACGCGGCGTGGACATGAATGCACACTGCTAATAAAGTTCTACACTAGGGCGAAATAACTGACCAACGCTTCCTAGATTTTAGTGATGTTGGAAATAAGATCATTTCGTAGAGTAAACTATAAGACTACATTCGGTTGATCAACAAAGAAAGTTATTAGCATGGGGTTAATGATGCTTTTCTACTTTTGAGATAAAACAAACAGTCTTGACTTCACATTTATACAATTTTAGAATTTCATAAAGAAAGTTAATTATCTTATTATAAAGCAAACAAACCGCTGGAAATTGATTATTGTACTAATATTAAGAAATAACATATTTCATATAAATTCAATGTTTGTTATATGAGGACTTACTGGGTAACAATGTATATTCTCAATAGATGAACGTTTCTAAGATTATTAATGATAATTTCAGGATATTGAACATATTATTTATCTCCTCAGTCATTTTTTCTCCTTTCTATAATAATCTCTCATAATCAGTCAGTCATTCAGTCAGTGAAAAACAACTCCGAACCTAACATGCATGTGCATCGGTTGAAGTTGGTACAACATATCAGCATGTCGAGAATAAATTATCAAGAATGATATCGGATAGTTGAAATTGTCAGCAATATCGGGGATAATAGTAAAGATTTAGTATAAACAGTATGAATCTAGAAGAAGGAATATAATCGTCAAATAAAAAAGTATCAGATAGTTTTTAAACTCAATATCTAAGGGAATACAAACAGTGAAGTCATTTATGCCACCGTGGCTGATTTTGAATTGTGACCTTCAATATCTTCAACAATAAGTTACGATAATCTTGAGAGTCTTGACCAGGTTATCTGAACTTTTCTAAATGATTTAACCTAACAGCAAATGACTTCATATACTGACCAATACCAAGTTTTCGTTCGGCCACCTCTAATTTCCTTTCAATCTATACTGGCATATTATAGGTGTTCTCACAAAAACATTTATTTACTACAAAAGACTGATGATCATTTTTATTTAATTAGTACATGTATGCATCATAAATATCCTGTTAAAAGAAAAAAATACAGTATTTCACCATTTTAATTTATATTATAATTAATATTTTACGATGGAGAACAAAAAAACTACTTATCGATTATGGTTGCTATTGGTGATATTATTTGATCTACTGAAGTTCTTGCCTTCTTTTCTCCAATTTTGTTGTTGTGAAATAATATAAACGTGTTTTTCTTTCTCGTTCTCTTTCCTCCTTTAAAACAAACAAGTAGTTTACATTTATTTTATTATATTACTAATAAGTTATCTCCTATATAGTATATGCATGTAAGGTTACAATATACTAAACTGTAATGGGGCACCAATAAATAAGTTTTATATATATATATATATATATATATATATATATATATATATATATATGTCATTGTGATAGATAAACTTGAGAGAAATTACAAAAGATAAGGAAAGAATAAAAGGTAATAAACTATTCAGTTTAATTTGTGCACATAATTAAGATACATTTTATTCAATGAGAAGAGATATATAATAATTATGAATGCCGGTCAGTCAATCGTAATCAATGTATAGCCTGGAATAATTGTGCTTTAGCTTAAGTTCTCATACCAGATTAGCACGACGAGTTGAAGTTAGCTAGATGAATTCCGAAGGTGTCGAAATAACTGTGGCAGTAATGATAACGAAACAGACTAAACATTGAATATATGACTTGAAAGGGTTAAATGTAAAGGTCTGTCTGAAGAAATACTGAAACTCAAGATCCAGAGGAAGATAAAGAGAGTGTTTGTGCACCACTGCAACGATTTCTGAGCCATGTCACTCAGCATCCTCAGTGGTTGGACATTTCCCAACCATCTCAGTCACTGATAATTTCTAACCGTGTTAACTGATTTAGCCCCTTTATCTAGTACAGTGAGTCTAATCTTAGATTAGCTCAAACTATCTTTCGATAATACGTGAGCAGTGTTTTGAAAATACCTTTAAAGCTCTTATTTTACGGACAGAATACTGTGGAGCTGACAGTTACATACTATACTACCCTTTGTTTAGAAATGGAAGATCTCTTCTATGGCACATGTGATATAAGTTAGTAAAACTAACTAGTTCACTTGGTATTGTTTGGCTTGTATCTTCCTATTGGGGTTTAAGACTGCAATTGATCAGTCTATTATTGGCATATGTGCATACTGTGCATATTGCCTTTATTCACAAGCTTTATAAACAAAGACGGATACTGGCTAGCAGTAGATCCAGGACGTGCGTTTCGTCCTATTTGGGACTCGTCAGCTGGGACTCGAACCCAATCTTAAACCTCAATGGGAAAATACAAGCAAAACAATACCAATTGAATTTAAATTCACCCCATTGCACAAGCAAGTGGCCATCAGGAATCAGTAGCTGAGTGGATAACGCGATGACGTATGAAGCGAATGGTACTGAGTTCCAGTCCCAGAGTGAACATCAACTCAGATGCAGGTACATCCAGTTGACGAGTTCCAAATAGGACGAAACGCGTGTCCTGTATTCCACTGTCAACTACTATCCATCTTTGCTTATAAAACCAACTAGTATTTCTGAATCCCTGCCAAAATTTCGTCATTCACTAACCCATCAAGGCTGATGAAATTTCAAAGATGAGTGTGGTGATAGACAAACTCAATTGAGCCAGTCCTTAAACAAGATTTTGTATTTATTTAAGAAGTGATCTATATCATCACCTAGATTCATCATATTGAGTGAAATAATTGATTATTTCGGCCATTCTAATGTTTAATATATCTTATAAGTAAGATTGTGGAGATTTCAGGAAATGAATAAGGTCCTGGGTTAAAAGGTAAAACAGAACTATTAAGCTATAATATATGTGTAATGATATGATTTATGTTAATTTCCACCATCATAAAATTATCCAAGGTATCATTATCATTAATCTCTTTATATCTATTAAAAAATACACAAAATTATAATGTTTAAATTGTTTCCGTTCATTAATAACTAGATATACATATCTAGATACAAGAAGAGTAATTTACAAATAAATCACATAGATTTTTTGTTGTTGTTGTGGTAAACTTATTAAAATTCAAATAAATTCAAAGTTGTATTAGAAAAAACATTTTTTCACAAAATCAATTAGTTTTATATTTTATTTCATGTTATTTCTCATTAACAACAAAACAAAAAAATAGAATCATCAAATTCTCTTTGAACTTCTTTGATCTTCCTATCTCCATAGGAACTAGTTTGTTTTTTCTGTTTTTCTTGTTTGTTTTTTTTGCCGTTTTTACATTTATTATTATATATTTCAATAGTTCGATTCATTGGTAAAGATCAAATTTTATGATTAGTAAAGAATACCTCATGTTTATTATTAGATATATGATTTTTTTGGTTATAATATGTATGTATGTAACATTTTATTTTGAGGGGGTGGGTAATGGGTGGGAGGTTTTTACGTTTATTTATGTTGCTTAGCTACAATTATAGTATTAAAATTTGACAATAAAGAAGAGCAAAGAATTATAAATTTCCTGTTGAAATATTGAATATTATTTCTTCATTATTGTTAACTATTCCAAATTCATTCATTCAAGTAATGATGTATTGAAATAAATGTATTTTAATTCTTTTCTACATTAAGAAAAACAAACAGGTATTTTTCAATGAATAGAAATAATGTAATTCGTGTGAATATGAAATGCATTTTTTATAATATTTATAATATTTCTAAACTAAAAGTAGATTTTCACCTCACGCTGATGACTTTAAACCGAATTGCTAGGTACTGTGCAAGTAGATCAAGAGAAAGTAATCATGAGCGACAAACTAAAGACATAAGATAAGTTCATAAAGGTACTTATTGTTAAACTAGCTCGTATATGCGGGTCAAGATCTATACAACAGTTCAAGATATGATTTTCGATGTTGATTGATGTGATCTGAAATGCATCAGAGTAACCCAGTTACATTCATTCTTTATCTTTCTTTAAATATTAGATTAATTGTTATTCCATATTTCGTATTCTTTATTATTCGTCTGTCTGATTTGGATTACTGTTTTTAAAGAGCCTGTCTTGTTTATGTAGCGCACAAAAACTGTAAATTATCGAAGTATGGGATTATTGTCTCACAAGTATAATATTATCAGTTTTATCAGGCTGATAATTAAAAGTCAGAGAAAACTATGAAATCCCCATAAAAGTTACAAACAAACAAAAGTTTCATTACGTAACCAGGAATCGCCAAGTGACTGATTAGATTCAATACTTCATCTAACACATAATTTGACACTGATTGAAAAAACGTACAATGAACGATGACTATATACGGCATTTATTCTAAATGTCATATATCAATTAAAGAAAATTGTACTGTCTATTTTATCCAGGTCAAGAAGTTTATAGTTAATAATATTTAGTACAAAACACTAAATTCACTTGATAAAAAATATCATTGTACTATTGGTTAGATTAAGGAGATTATGTCTTATTTATGGCTAACTGAAATCCTTTGATATAAACACTTTTGATTTAATTCATTTTGTATTCGTAGCTTGAATCTTCCCATTATTGTTTAGGGTAACAATTAATCGGTCTCCTATTGCTATATGTGCATCCTGTGCGGATTGTCTCCATACTGATCACCTGATGTCTCAAACATCAATGGGAAGATTTAAATAACCAACACAAAAATGAATTAAACTTTATCAATTAGCACAAGCTAACGGTTATCTAGACTCAGTATCTAAGTGGATAACACGATATGGTACTGGGTTTTAGTCTCGGACTGAACATTAACTCTGAGTATCAGGTACATTCAGCTGACGAGTCCCAAATAGGACAGCACGCGCTTCCTGGATTCCACCACCAGCCACCATCCATCTCTACTTTTGATGAACAATGTTTTATAATATCTATTAGCACTTTTTTTAGCGAGATTCGTCTTCACGAGATAAGGTTGTTAATCCTATGTCTAACCATCCTACATTATCTAGGATTGGGACCGGTAGTAATCCGAGAAGTTGACGAGATAGAAGTACGATATTTTTTACATGAATCCCCAACTAAAGGCGTTATTTTGGTCTTGATAAATGAAGAACGCATAGACTGATACAAATTTATTAGAAGTGAATATTATCAAAATTTTAGATTATATTAAACTAATAATAAATGAATTATTATTAAAATTGTTTCTACCATTGTATGTTCCATGGTGTTGTTCTGTTGCTTCAGTCGTTTTAACACTTAAGCAATTCCTTAACAAGGGTGTTCGCGTTGCTGTTTTAGAAACTATCGAATAACTCAATGGTTGACTGACACAAATAAAACATTCAGTTTGCATTGCAGACTCACCTTATTCTGACTAGTATTGAAGATCAGGAACCAATAAACAGCTGCTTTATTCTAGTATGGAACTCTTCAACGACATACATCCACAACCTCATCATAGATCATTTGGTGAGCATTTAACCTTAAGAGTACTGAGTTGGGATTCAGTTGGTTCATACTTTAAGTTACAATCAACTAACAATATTGTACCATCATTTTCCAGCGGTTTTAGTGTAAATGCCTCACACTCGACATGGTTAAATTACATTTATTACGATTGCTCACTAAAATTCCAAAAATTACCTCTGGAAATCAGACATGAGTTAGTGGTTCAGTACTTCCTGATTTTTAAATGTTTGTCTAACTTCTCTCAACCCATAATGTAAAGTATTAAGTTTAACAAACTTTACAACGCTCCCCCATAGTAATAGTAACTGAATAAACTGTTTTTATATACTTTCATTAAGATTAAACAATATTCTACTCCAAATTACGTGGAAACATGGATGTATGTATTCTAGATGAAACTTATTACTATTCCTTTACTTACATTGTAAACAATATCTAGTCATTTTATGTCTCAGTAAATAAAATCTACAAAAGTAATATTGTTCTTCAATGGTAAAAGTTTATTCCAGTGATAGAATAACAGAAGGAACTGTTACTAAAAATAATGTACTTTTGAGTATTTCTAACATTCTTATTCACTTGCCATCACATTAATAGATTATGACTATTTTTGTGTGATGTATATATATATATATATAAAGCAGATTTGCTGAACTAACACTATCTGAAGAGTCATTTTAGGTTAGGTAACACTCAATATTTGTTTTGATTAAGTCTTAGATTCATTTTTATATTGTATTTGAACTTTCATGAGGCCAGAGATTTTATGGATAGTTAGAATGAAGATGAAACGGATTTACAGTGATTACATATAGACAACGGCTCCCCAGCTGTTGATAATTTAAATCAAAGACTGCTGAGAATATCTTTACACACATGTCCCTATGAAAAATAAACAAAATAATAAAGAATTGATCGTTATAATCATATGTACAATTAAAATAGTTGGAACAGTCAGGCATATCCCAGGCATACCCAATTTCTGTCAAACTATTCGTTCTAATCTTGACGAATATTCGTATAAATATCCCACTTTAGTTGTATTTTTTATGTTACTTCTAGTTTATAAGTAGTCAAAAAGTGAAGCAAAATGTTGACTATTAATTAAATTCGACATATTTGTAATCCAACAACACCAATAATTGACACTTTATTCTCGGTGACATAAATGTCGTATGCCAATGTATTGTCCACCTCCACCCAGAAAGTACACAGAATTCACAGTCATCCTTCAGATTTGGTGACCAGAACTTTCCTTGGTATGCAAAAAACCAGTTTTGATTAAACACAAGTTTCGTTTTTGGATGAGTGGGAAATGCTGGAGTAAAACGCAGCATACTATTTAAAGTTAAAAATGGATTGATAAAACTGTAAATTTTTATTGTCTAAGGTGTTTGCAACACTTATTACGTATAAATAGCCACTTCCTAACTCGATATGTGGTGATGGCTGGTATGGGAGTAAGTTGAAAGATATGAGCAACCAAACCAGTGTGTATCAATCTCTGTAGTCACTGACAGTTGATCTGAATCATGTGAATGGCATCAAATTATCTTGTTTGGGTCTGCATGAATAACGTAACCAATTATTAGAGACGATGAATGACATGACTCTGAATTGATTGCACTGGACCAGATGTATTCGCTCATTTTCTTCTTCCGAACCCTGAGTTTCAAATTCAAATTGCTCTATTTTGTCCCATGGATTCATTCTATCTCCTCATATCATATATTTCACCCCTAATCTTTTCAATCACAAGTGAGATTGTTAATAAATTCACTTCATACTGTTTTTCTTGATAATTTCATCTTGTATTGATGTGTTGTGACAACCTGAACCGATGCGAATGTGTGTCAGGTGCCGTGTTGTTTCTGACTAACTGATCGACTGACTATGGCAGATTGTTATCCAAGAGAGGAAACATAAAGTCTGAGGATACAAATAACTAACGTATTATTAACATTTTATTGTAATTTCACATACTTATCTTTCAATCATTTTCTCAATGTGACTAATTACTTTCTTCTTCTAGTTTATGTCGTAGTGTCCAACATGAATTAGAACAAGATAGTTCAGATAAATTTAGGGCATTACAATTAGATCAATTAGCTCATCAATTACGTAATTCATCGGCTAATATTGCTTTATATGGTGATATTGAAAAATTAGAAAAATGGTAAGTGAAAAAGATATTAATTATTATTACCCTAAATTTCATAGAATAAACGTTTTCGAAAAAAAATTCCTATACAACTTTAATGTGTGATAAGCTCTAAATCCGTCAGATAACCATAATGAATTAATATCTATTAATTATTTGTATCTATCCTGCCAAAGGAAATTACTACGTAAATGACAACTGATTCAACTGTGATGGATTACAATCTGAGTCTCGAAATCTCACCATTCCTTCTGTCTCTTTTCTATACTTAAGTTTTTCTGCTATAGATACTACCTTGATAATTTTATTTCACCGCGCTAATGTGGTTTGGAAACTTGAACCGATCAAGATGTGTCAAATTCTATGTTGGAAATGACTGACCAACTAATTGAATGGATATGCCGTTGTTCGGTAAGCTAGAAGAAAAGTATCCGGAATCTCACTTATCGTTCCCTTCCTCTTTGTCTACGAGAGTGTCTGTTTTGATGTATCAACCACTCTTCCTAATTAATCGTTTAACTGAGGATGGCATGGAGGCAAATAAATATGCTTCATGCTTAATTTAGAGATGAATCCTGAGGATATGGATGAAAATGGACCATATTCCACTGTCTGTATTCGAAAAGTTTTGAATTTCAAAACAGTCAAAACAACTAACATAACTGAGTTACCTTATTATCTAACTTTTTCTTCTATTTTTCAATACACTGCTGTGTCTATTAAGTAATTATGAATACTACTGTACAGCTTGAGTTAGTAACATCATCGAAAATAAATTTCGTTTGATATTTTTCCGTTAATTGTTTTTCAAGGACACAACTGTTTTTTTGTTATAACAGTAATGAAATTATCTACTGACTACTTTTCATGTAAAACAAGAAAAACAATCAACTACATCTCTAAATAACTGTTGAATTCAATATCAATGAAAATGAAGTATCTCCTAATTGAGGGCATTTTGTAGATAACAGTTTAATCTCTATGTTGTATTTGTTCTTGATTGATGTCATCTGGGTGGGGGCTATTGAAGACCAAAGAGTACTGGATAGCTCTTTTGTTCTAGTATGAGGTTCGTAAATAGAACACATTCACAATTCTACTGTCCCTGTTTTTTCTAATGGTTAGGCGTTTGCCATGAGACTTGAAGACACTGAGTTCGACTTTTATGGAAGTTATGAGTCCCCACTATTAAGTCCAGTTGTAGGGCGAATTGCCCATCCACTGTTTTCTTGTCTTCAATGGTACCCGAAATGTGACCGATAAAATTTAAATCTTGAATTAATTTTCAAATTTTTTAGATAAATATATTACATATGATCTTTTGTTTTGATTTATTTCGTTGTCAATACAGTTAAACGATTTGTAGTGTATAGTGAATTGTAAACAGTTCATAGTAAACTGTAATGTACTTACAAATTTATTAGACTTATTTTCACATTCAAGTACATATATATGTGACCTCCATCCTCATATATTTTAATATTTAGGATGAGTGTACCGGAAAAATGGACTGAACATACAAGCGCTAATTTAAAACGTTCCCAAGCTGAACGTGCAGCAAGTCGATCTATTCGTGAAGCAATCGAACATTGTTTAGGAGCAACATTCAGCAGAATACGTGATTTATGGTCTTCAACTAATGCATGCTTATCTCAACGTATACAAGAAACAATGGAAGCTAAGAATAGAATACAAGTTCAATTAGAAAAAGTATGTTAATTATCATCTTTTTTCGTTTCTATACTATTGAAAATACTAGAATTAGAAAAAAACACTAATAAATTATAAAATATTCATAATTTCTAAGGTATTTAACTAATTAAATTACTACACTATCGTCATGACTATCCTCTAAATTCATTAACACTGATTCTACTGACAAAGTTTCTAAGTAGCTAAGGTTATGCTTTAAAATTTTACTTATCTTGTAAATTGCTGGTTAAATACCTTCATTAATATTACTGAAGTACAAAGGCTAATCTACGTGACTAGGTATATATATATCATTGAATACAAATACTATATACTTACAATTGGTATCAGATAGAATATATTGATATAGTTTCTTTCACAGAACAATTGAATGACTCATTCTATAGTGACTATTTCTCATTAACAAGAAGACAGTTGACATTGAATCGATCTTGTTGGTTCATGAAAATTGTCAAATCTATAATTAAATCTTGTTCTAGAGTATCAGTAGTTGTTATTCCAAGCATAGAGTACTTTTCAATAGTTTTCTTTTAAAAAATGGTATTCTAAGCTGAGTTTCTTTTTAATATTTAATATGAACTTGGTAATTTATTTATATGAATGACTATGTTGACTCGAATCTGTTGTGAAGAAATGATGACATTACTCGATCACTAAGCAGTGACTAATATCATATTTGTCTAGTGCTTAGTGTTGATCATATTTTACTGACCAATTTACTTTGTGATCATTATTCTAAGTGATTACTCATCGTTTGCACTATGTTAGGGTGCTAGAGATGTAGGTTCGAATCCAACTGATGATATGAATTCTCTCAAGATTGCAGGTAAGCTCTGTTAAAAAATCACTTTTGAATAAACACAGATTTGAGCCTCGTAAAGAACTTATGGTACATCAAAGTGTTTTGAAGTTTTTAGTTGCGGAGCTTTTATTACCATTCTAGACAACATCATCAGGTCTTACCTCATGTAGAAATGAGCTTCATAGTTATTTTATTTATTAAATCAGCTTATTCTGATTGTATTGTTTGTTGTCGTCATAGATTTCGTTGCCTTCATTTTTCTCTTGTATTGAAGGTGACTGTGTTTGTTCCGTCGACTTCTGACCATATTATTGACTGACCATTTTTGAATAGGTTAATAGACCGGGTTTATTTTGATATATCTTTTAATTGCTATTTGGTCTGAATGTTATGCTTTCAGAGACTCTCTAAGATTCTTAGGATCCCTTCGATCCACAGATTTGCTGTTTTGTCCATATTTGTCTATTTGTATTAATATCAATGATAATTTATCGTTTCATTATACTAATAATCAATACTCGTGTATGCGTACGTGTAAACGTCGTCCACTTTCGCCAGTGTCGTTTTATCATAATCAGTTAAGTTGTTTCATTGTTGTTTCTTTTTTACATCAATCTATCTATAATTTCCAAGAATCGATGAACGTATTATTAACTGTGTTCATGTTTGATATCACTTAGTAATTCTTTATACTCATTTCAAAAGAATCAGTTGTAATTATTTTGCACTTGTATATAATTACCGATTAATTGTTGAAATATTCAATGTCTTAAGTTTAAACTCATCCAATTACATTTTCTATTGTTCAGATCATTGAATTCGATATTTTACACTGTTTCTATTCATCACTTCACATTCTCTTGTTTTATTTAAACATTATTTTAGATTAATCAAGAATTATTTGATGTTGAAAAGAATATGGAATATTTAAAACGATGTATAGCTGATAAACAAGCACCATTGAAAGTAGCTAGAACAAGATTAGATTTACGTAATCGACGTCCAAATATTGAATTATGTCATGATGATCCACATGAAAGGTAATCTTGTTTTATAAAGAGACAATTTTGTAAATTAGTAACAATTTACCGAACATGTACTTGAAGAGAACACATTTGTTTGTTTAATGAGAGCAAGTAAACTAGTAGATACATATTCAAATGGTTCGATACCATTGTTTGTCTTTGTTACATTCTTAGATCATTAAGATTGAGTTCAGATGGAATATGATCGTAAAGACTTTAAAAAACTGCTTGTCGACTACACTAAGAAAAAAATTCTTTCCATTTGAACTACGAATTGCATAATCCAGTAGATATCGAATACAAAGCCTTATCAGAAATAAAGTATCGCTACAGGCTACTTTATTGTGGATTTACTAGTCTACTTGTTCTTATAAAGCATGTTTTTAGTAATCACATGAATCTTAAAATTTCCAAATGTATATCCGTAAACCGATTTGTACGATTATTAAAAAGTTAATTCAGATCAATCAATCAACATGTAAGTTTAATTACTCTGAATTATTATACATAAAGAAATAAACCTAAGTTCCATGTTAATTTACATTTGTTAACAAGGCATATCGTAAATATTGAAGAAGCTTATACTTTCCATGTAATTCGCGGCACTAGGCTATTTTAGTGCAAACAAATCTCAATTGATCGAAATAAGTAATTTAAAAGTATTCAACCGTTGGGGTGAATTATGTAGGTAGGTATAAATTACCAGATTAGGATCCTCACAATTATCATAACCAATTGATTAAAACATTGAGTGACGTTGCTCAGAATCGATTATAATAACCTAGTTGCAATCACTATTTTATTCTCTATTAGGTGTTGAATTTTAAAATTATCTTATACTTTTTATTCCATAAATTCATCTTTTCTTCTGGAATCATATCATTTATGCTTCATCTTTTCAACTATTGCTGATATGATTACTACACCTAATATTCTGATATTTGTCACTGATAATTTACCTCTCTTTTTTGATGATTCTTTATGACAACTCGAACAAATACACATACTTACCTAGTTTTACAAAGGTTATGATTTTTTCATTGAGATCATGAACCGATTGATGTTAGACCACCATTGAAAACCTGGAAACACTGGACGGCCATTTCGTCCTATTGTTGGACTTCTCAGCAGTGCGCATCCACGATCCCTCTCGCGGGATTCGTGCTCACTGGTGACTAGCTCCGTGAGGTCGTTCTCGAAGTTCTGGTGAGAAGCCAAGATCAGTGAAGCCAATCCGTGTCGGATAGAGAGAGGTGTCTACCTCAGTACGATGGAAAATGGTCGGGTGATTTCTTGGATTGCTTGAGGTGAGACATTAACATCGTTAGATGCAGGTCAGCTCAGTGGTCTAAAGGTTAAGTGTTCACGAGCGAGATCACAGGCCCTGGGTTGGAATCCCGTGGGGTGGGATTGCAGATGCGCAATGCTGAGTCCAACAACAGGACGAAACGGCCGTCCAGTGGTTCCAGGTTTTCAATGGTGGTTTGACATCAATCAGTTCATGATCTCAACCAAAAACTTAATAATCTCCATAACTCCATACTGTTAAGGATTATAATTGATTGATTTCATATGCTATTTATATATTTACATTTATCAAAACAATAACAACTGTTTTATTATTGAGCTGAATATACATGATTCACTCAATCGACTTATTTAACGTATAATAATTATTCGTTCTAGTTTGAACTCGTTTTCTTATAATAATAAAATAGTCAGGATATAATTCTCTAAGTTATTGTTTTCTCTATTCTGGTATTAGAACCGAATAAGTTTTGACAACCATTACTAAATCAAATGTTAATTGTTATTCACAAGTATATGGATATCATATAATAATAATAATAATAATAATAATAATAATAATAATAATAATAATAATAATAAGAAGAAGAAGAAGAAGAAGAAGAAGAATGCTAGTTTGAACATGATTTCCATGAAATTACTTTTCTATTCATCTTAGCAAGCATGTAGAACAGGTTTATTATGAAGTTCTTTCTTTTAAAAAAAATAACAATTAATAGTCTATGTAGTTTAAAAAACCAAAACTTGTATGAGATTAAAGTTTTGGCTTTTAATGTTCAGTAAATGTACAGTATTCACAATCTATGTGCATTCTACTATTCAGTAAGTCAATGAGTACTGGATATGAGAGTGTAATTTTCACTGAAAATTTCATCTTAAGATCTAACTTTTATTATTCTAGTATTTCTTTTATCCACCATATTGATATGCACTACACTGGTTCATTCATAGCAGACCGATGTAGATAACTATGAATAATTGATATGAAGTGTTTAGTAAACATAACAATCATATGTAACGCTTGCTTAATAAATGAATAAAAATAGGTTACGGGTATTGTATACTTATTGAATAACGAAAATAACATAGATAAGCTTACATAATAAAGAATAGCAACTAAATCAAATGTTAGGAAATCTATCTAGAATGGTTATTCTTAATAGTGATTAGTCAGTTATTTTGATAATGATAATATCGGAGTTTATTATACTTATTTGACGGTTATCAGTAAAATTCAGTATATCCATTTGTCTTCATTTGAAACTCATTAGCTAGCTGGTGAGCGGCCTATGCTCCTACATGAGGGGTAATAGGCCTAAGTAAGTAAGTAAGTTGAATTTACCTGCATCTTTTAGTGTTGGCTGTCGTATTGAAACTCAAAACCCGTATCTTTCTCTTCCGATCCAGATATATTGTCCACTATGCTACTGAATCTATTCTGCCACTAGCCTGTTCAACGGATATAAATTTATTAGTAATGATTTGCAGTTTTCGTTTATTGAAATATAGAACTGCAATTAATCAGCCGCTATTGTTATACTTACTGTCTAATCTGACTGTTCCTGTTTATAATCTTTATCAAAAAGTTTAGTATATGCATAAAATTTTCGTCTTAGATTCTATTGTCATTCACGATCTAAATAATGTTATAACTTATGGTCTTATACCCTATTAATATATAACGTAATAATATCGCCAATTAGAGAACAGTAATTTATTGATCGAACCAATAACGCGTAAATCCATATGAGCTGTCTAGAGTCCTTATCGGTCCTTCTTCCTGCCTAGCTCTGCCTGTTAAGTTCAGAACACATATCTCAGCCTCTGCAATATTAATTATGTATTTCAAACGTACTGGGTTTATATACAAATCAAACAGACCACATCGTACCATAAAATAGAAAATAACATTTGTACAAGATCTAACCAAAAAAGGCTGTGAATGTGAAAGGCTGTAATTAATAGACTGGGTATAACTCAAGGACGGTAAATTGTATCATAATAGTCTATGGGTCAAAATAAAGCTTATAATAGGAAGAACATGAATATTTATAGTTTAGCTACTTAACAATTATACAATAAATATATACCTCATTGGTCCATAAATAGTTCTCGAAAGTTACCATTCATAATTCTCGTCGAGATATAACAATATATTGACATCTTGTGACTAAAGGTCATGTCAAAGAAATACAATTAGTTTGGACACAAGAGAATAGTGATTACTAAATTGTATTCATGAATTTCAATAAATAAAAACTACGGACCAATGCAAAAGCCATTACTAGAACAAGCTAATAGAATTACTAAGCAATAAATGCATCCATTATCTTTCAGATGTATTCAACTAACTATCATGTAGTCATTAGTACGGTGGTAACTTGATTTCTAAGGTAGAGGGTGTTCAAACAGGAACTCCTGAATTTAAACCTTGCTCTACTTATTTCGGTTTCAGTAAACATTTAATATCATTACTCATCATATGATGTACGTTTTTGTAATAAATGAATTGCATAAACTAATTAAACCACTATTAACTCACTGAAAACATCAATTTGGATAGATTGTTTAAGAAAATGGATAAAATCGAGAGATAGATAAATTAGAAATCTTTAAATGATGATTGTATACGTTTTATAGAACATTGTTAAAAGATCTTAATATAATAAAACTCAATTCAGTAGTTGAATGAAAATTATTAACACTTTGATCAAATATCTTAACTCTCATTTCAAAAATGTAGCACAATTTGTCTATTAATGTAAGTTTCTAGAGTGCAATCAAAGAATAATTTGGTATGAATTAGTTCCCTCCGATCATTTGAATAAATAGTTAGTGAATCGATTTACATCAGTTAGTTTTGTAATGCCAATATCGTTATTAAATATTTGACTGTACAACTATATATATATATATATATATATATATATATATATATATATATATATATATATATATATATATATATATATAATTAATACAGAACAAATCATTTATCTGGTTACTTACTGGTTCGAAAAACATTTGAATAGATTCCAAATAGTGTGAAAATGTATAAGCGTCATGTATTCTTTATATTTCTAGGTTGACTAAAAGTTAACCAATGCAGAAAGGGATTTCAACATACAGTGAAAGGATTGATCATTAAATGTTTTATCTACCAGGCGATTGTTCCACTTTCGATATTTCTTAATTTTCATTCATTTATTATGAAATTCTTGTTATCATGAGTAGTAGTAGTAATCGTAGTAGCAGCTAGTCATTAGGAGATAAGATACGTAATCACGAATTTGTAGCGCATTTGATACTCAATGCTCAATGTGTGCATTTCATAGCATATTTCTGTCCATTTAGTAGGTGAGTGAAACATACAAGAACATAATTTTCACTGAGAATTTCCGTACCAGCTCCAAACTTGACTTGATTTACTCTTGTTTATTTGCAAGTTGAGATCGTTTACAGTAGTATGTTCATAGAAGATATATGGAGATGGCCTTAAATGACTAGAATGAACTCCTCAGTGAAAATTGCACTCATATATGCAGGACTCATACATTAAATCAACAGAAAGTTGCTCTGAAATGCTAGATGTTTTACTTTTATCAATCATTGATGATCAACATTACATCATCAGTTTCGCATTGTTCAAAAGAATGGTGGATACTTATAAATAAACATTCACAGAATCGAACGATTTAAAAATGTTG